GCATAAGTCTCATACCTTCTGTGGTATTTTGGACTTTTCTCTCTAGGTAATCCTTTCGTCAAAGGATCAACCTGATTCTATTAGGATCTTACATGATCCACCCTCATTGCTCCTATCGTTAGGAGTTCTCTTACAGTACTGTGCTTACGACAAATTTGTCGTATCTTTTCATTCTAGAACCGGTTCCCTTCTTTAGTAATAGCTGCGGTGCTATCACAATGAATCAACTACCGGAGGGATCGGTCTTTCCCATAAGGAAATTTCTAGTAATTATCCACTCAATCAACTTTTTCTCTTTACTAGCCATTTCTAGCTCTATAATTTCTGATTTCTTAGTTGATTGAGCCAGGATTGTTTACTTCTTAGAGTTCCAAGACACAACTCTTCCAGTGATGTTTAAAATATGACCACGGGATTCCTTGGAGTCTTCTATAGAGTATTCTCGTCCACATCAATATACCCTACCAATACAGTACAAAACCGTTGATAACTTATATCAAGGTCTACTGTTCTCTTAAGGTGTCTCATGACCCCTTTCAATAGCATTTCAATGCTTCATACTAGGACAATCAGTAAGCCTGTCAAGTACCCCCACTAAATCGGGTCTCATGTTTACCAGCTGCCTCACGCAGACTGTCGATGCTAGTATATTCTAACTTTCTCAGTTTCTCACACTGTTTCCTAGCTTACACAAGCTTCATCGAGAACATTCAAAATTCTCAAACATGGTTTTTTCATATCAATGATATCATGAGTCTTTGTACCAAAGATCAACATGTCATTCATAGTGCACATGCCATTCTTAAACTTGTACTAAATGCACTTGTCACTTTCATTAAAACCATGAGAGAGAACCTGATATTCATGCCACTGTTTTTGAGTCTATTTCAAATCCTATCATGATTTGTCTAACCATAGACTCCAGAAGCATGTTCAACAATAACAACCTCTTAGGTTGTCCCAAGTAGATTTCTTTATCTAAGTCACCATTCACAAAAGAAGTTTAACATCCATATGATGGTTGTTATACTACAATATTGGTGAATAGATATCGAAGAAATCTATAATTTTTCCTCTTCTCCTAAAGCCTTAGCTACTAGGAGATCATTATACTCATAAACTAAACCACTAGGTTTCAGTTTTTCTTTTAGGAATCCATTTATTACCTTGGCTTCATTGCCAGGAGGTAATTCTCAAAATATCAAATCTTGTTCGGTTCCACCAATATATTACCCAAGGCTTTACAACCAAGAGGCAACTCTACAAGATTCTAAGTCTTACTAGACTCCATAAATTCCATTTCGTTAATAAGGATTCTCCCACGAATCTGCATATATATGGAAGTTCAAACTTCAAGCAAACTTGTGGGGATCTTTCTTAGGGTGTAAATAAAGAATTCATAACCAAAATCCTTTAGTGATTTATGGTTCATTTGTCTCTTATGAGCTCATACTCAAATTCATTACCCCCACTAGTTCCATTATTTCTATAGTAGGTAGGATACAACCCCCACTATTTCTTGATTTTAAATGGAAGTCTATTGGCATCAATGGATTCCACAACATAATGAGTACTCAAGTTATGAGGCCTATGTGTTTTCTCTATAGCATATCCAATAAACACACAATCATATGCGTACTCATAATTATATTGCACTGATTCTCAAACTATACTATATGAAAAACGCATTTTACAAACAACGCTCTATGATCAAAAGCATCATGTCTTTAATTAATGCAATCAATAATAATGTGATAAAGCATTTCACATTATTCCAAATTATTATCTCATTATATTCACCCATTTCAAAATGAATTAGATACAGGGATTCTGATTCTCTAGTCATATACTTATCATATATAAGGAAATCACGTATCTATCATAGCTACTATGAAAATGTGACTTAGATATTTAATTTTTCATCAAATACGTGCATATCATACACAACATAGTTCATTATTTTAACTTCAAAGTTAAACATCTCTTCACATTCTTTCATGACCATGATAATAGTAGAGCAGTGGCAATACTTTCTTAACCACAAACCAGCCACCATTCTGTAGAGTTACCAACAAGGTTAACCTCTACTCTTTTCGCAATTATCACACAACCACCAATCCTCCTCTTTAATCAAGTTAACACTTGAACTAGTGTTAGCTTTGTTCCTACACTTTCGTGTCATATGACCTAATTTCTTGCATCTATGGCAGAGAAGTATAGCATCATTCTTAGAGGATTGGCAGACGATCATTTGGTTACCATGAGGGGTACCATTTTAATTGGTGTGGATATGGTTCTCATAGTACTGAAAATCAGTACTTCTTCTAAAATAAATGTGGGCATACGGCCCATTCCACTACCATATTACCACATAATATGCATTTATATATGCTTTAAATTATGCAATCATATAGTTAAAATTACTATACTTCATAGCATGTACACAAAATTGTACTCTAATTATTGAGAAAAGCACATCTCAATATCAATATATTCATGCGTCAATTTTAGTTTGCTTATTAGCATTCACAATCTCAATTTCATACATGAATCTACATAGAATAAATTCTAATTCTGTCTTTCTTTGAGCATTTATTAGGTTTCTCAATACCATGCATAAAACTATATGACAAAAATTATAATTTTGTCATTCATTGAGGATTTCAACTCTTACCTCTCGTTCGTCCCTTGCTGCTGCTTCCAATGAGCATCCTTCCCGTAGCTTCGGTTCCAAAATTCATATAACTGCCTTTTCTTATTAAAGCCGTTGCAAATAAGAACTTTGCCCTAATATCCCAGGGTTCTCAATCACATCCCGCCAGCTGGAAGCTTCCACAAGGATAGCCACTGCCGCCTGGCTCGGTTGGCTCTTCATAATCCCTATGGACCGTGTAATTGTTGTTTACTTTTCCGTTGACTACTTGCTTCACAAAAGGAAAAAACAGCTAACGGTAACAATTATTAATAAATTGAATCCCAAATCTAAAAGGGAGACACCTCACGCTTTTACCACAACTATAGGATTTATCATTTATGTATAACTGTAGGAAGTAAGAATGAGATGATCATTCTTTCAAGATACGTGGAGAAGCAGGGTACAAACAAATCGCGTTAGATGAGACTCCTTTTCGCCGACAGGTACAATAAGAGAGCTGCGACCGCTTTGGGTTGCAAAGAGAAGGAAACGTCGTTTGCGCAGGCTGCAAGCTTCCATCCTTTGATGTCATCTCTCTAATAAAACTTAGCTCCGCCAATCTCGTTCCAATTTAAGCCAGATACAGTAATCGGATCTGTTTGGTATACATGACAGCAACACAACGTCTTAAAATTGTTAGAAACCGAACAAAAAATTTAGGGTTACCGATCTGGCTAAGTCGCGGACTAGGTCGCTCTCTTTAAGACGTTCGCGGCACTGCCTCGTTATTCGCACAACAGACTATCAGCCGGTCGCCTCCAGGATAAAACAGCCACTCTTTTGATTTGCTCAGCGGTTTTGTGCGGAAAACCGGAGCTCTTTGAATCTCACTCTCTCTCGTGTTTCTGCTCTCTTAGGTGTGTTTAGAGGGTCTGGGGCGTCTTCTATTTATAGGAGCAGAAAACCCAGAATATTCCCTCTTTCTTTGGGAATAAGTCATATTTTAATTAGGGAGATAATTACTCCCATAATTAAAATATAATCTATTAAGATAATTATTCCTAATTATCTCCATAATATTCCTTTTATTAATTATCCATCTTATTTTCGTATCTAGAAAGAATATTGGATAATTAATTCAATATAGCTTTCAAAGCTATTCATTCCCAACAGAGACTAAGCAAAGAGTCTTGAGTTTGGCTAGATATAGGATATGGATAAGGAGAATGGAGGAGAGGTGACATCTCAAGTTTTTGTCATTGATAATCTTTATTTGATGAATTGGAGGCTGAGAGAAGACTGATACTAGTGTTTGTTTTTTTGTGTTATGAAAATAACAATAGATTGGTGGTTGAGGGTCGTATAGTAGTGAAAGAGAGAGTTTAGTTGAGAGCATAAAATACACATTAGCTTATATTTCGATATTGTTCGGTATTTCGGTATATACTAATTCTAATCCCGTAATCCCTAATACCAAATAACAATTGAAATTGAATCAAAATCTCAATCCCAAGAAATAATACGTGTATTCGATAATATCAAACATAGACAAATTCGGTACGGTATTCGGTATATTCCAAATACCAGTACCAAACTTCCACTGGTCTCAATAGACTTCACCCTGATGTGAACTCTCACCAGCAACCTTACTTTCAGCAATTTATTCCAGTTCCATGTAGGGGTGTTCAAACGGTTTGGTTACCGTGGTAACCATTTTAACCGGTACTATTTGGATAATTTGGTTTGGTTAATTTGGATAATTGGTTTGGTTTGGTTAAAGTTTTTAGCTTGTTTGGTTTAGGTGGTTTGGTTTGGTTTCAGACACTCCTAACCAGTCAAACCAAATTAACCAGTTAATTAATTAGTCATATATCTAACATATATTATATACTCATACTTAAACCTTTGCATAACCACTCAAGAGTTAACGTTCATCCCTTTTAGACTCATATAAAATATAAAGCTCAATATTGCTCATATAGTGTATATTTGTATATGTAAAGTGTAGATCACAACATATGGACGCCTAATTTAGATAAATTTCATACATTATGATGGATGAAAACTTGAAAGGAAGGTCATTTCCAGCCTATGATAATTGCTAAGAGACTAAGTCAATTTACACAAACACAACAATTCATTAACCCATACCATTGTCATAAATTTTTGTTAGGTGAATACTTCTATACTAATCGTAAGATAATTGTCTTAATTGCATGTATTTTTGTTAAGGGTCAACTATAACTACGTGTTGATTGTTATGTTTTATTCATTATATAAATTACGAATTGTTGCATTAACCGAAAAATTTTCATCATCAATTATAATGTGATTTTATATTGGCTAATCTGGTTAACCAATTAACCAAACTGATTAAACTTTATTTTGGTTAATTTGGTTGTTGTATTAGTTTGGACGGCTTGGTTATAATATTATATTTCATGGTTAATGAAATTTAGCCTCGTTTGATTTGGTTATAACCATGGTAACCATTTGAACACTCCCTAGTTCCATGAGCCATTCTTCCCTTCTTCGCCATCTAGGACATCCAACTGTTCTCGTGCTAAGCTAGTATAAAAATGATAAAAGTTACAGCAAGATTGCTCTGTTTTGGGAAACAGAGGCCTACAGCCTTTTTCTGGTTTTGGGGAACTGCTTTCCTTTCTGAGCTTTGGTAAGGCAAGTTGGTTTGAACTTCTCTTCTCGGCTTTGAGCCATAGCCCAAGATGGGATTGATTCAGCCTGCACAGAGTTATACGATTAAGGAAATCCTAGCAAAGTCCACCATTTTCCCATTACATTCAGAAAACCCAAAAGAGAGAAGCTCAAGAACCCCCCAACACAACGTAATGGGAGCCCAGAGAATCCCCAATTTTGATATCATCATAAGCAGAGGAAACGCACTATGCACAATCAAAGTAGCATCAGAGTTTCTCACATCAAGTTTAATTTCATGTCATCCATACCCTACTCATAAAATCATTACATGAGTAGAGTAGAGTATGGATGACATGAAATTAAACTTGATGTGAGAAACTCTGATGCTACTTTGATCGTGCATAGTGTGTTTCCTCTGCTATACCAGAAGTTCCAAACATCAGTCATAGCAAGAAGTTTCTTTTCGTGGCCGCTTTCGAACTTCAGGAATCCTTACAAGCATTGTTCATCTGTCTATGAATCTTCACCTGGACCAAACCCGATTTAGGCCTGTAACTGAACTCGATTCTGTCTCCAATAGCCACGCCATTAGCAGCGGCCAAGGCCTGCCAGCCACCACTGAAACGTTTCTGAAGGCCCTTTCCTCCTGAGATCACACGAACCGACCACACCTTCCCACTTGAGTCCTGAAGTTGTGCAGTTTCCTTCAGTGACAGCTTCGTGGTTTCAGAAAATCTAACCGGCATGCACTTCCCCATGGGCCAAAAACACCGAATTAAGGACGAGGTTTCGATGAGTAAAACAAACAGAAAAAGATGATTGACTGGGAAGGAATTGAACTATACCACAAAATTACAACGTTCATTGTGCTTCTTGTAAACCATTTCGAAGGAATCAGCCAATCCTGGAGGAACGTTTTTTACAGAAGAATGGCCTTTTCTCAGTTTGCTGGACTCTGCCTTCATTAATGGAGCTCCTCGCTTCCCTTTTAAAACTGTGTTTCCCCCCATTCGCGAATCAAAAACCAGAAGGAGACATTAGTAATTAGAGAAAGTTACGGGTAATCTCTCTGAGAGGGCAGAGTGTGAGAAGAAACAGAGTTTTTATACCTTTTCTTGGTCTGGTGGATCTCTCTGTTTGGCGATTTCTTCCATAACTTGGGCAAAGCTTGCTCCTTTCAGGAGAACCCGCTCTCTTCCACGGCCGCTTCCCACCTTCAGAATCGTTGCAAGTATTGTTCTTTGGCTTGTGAATCTTCACCTGGATCAAACCCAATTCAGGCTTGTAATTGAACTCTATTCTGTCCCCAGGAGCCAAGTCATTAGCGCCAGCAAAGGCAGGCCAGCCACCAGTGAACCGTTGATAAGGGCCCTGCCCTCCTGAGATTACAGTAACTGGCCACACTTTCCCGCTTGGATCTTGAAGTTGTGCGGTTTCCTTCGTTGCCAGACTCGTGGTTTCGGAAAATGTCCATGGAATGCACTTTCCATGGTAAACAGAAATGAAAAAGCAACAGAGAAGACAAGGTTTGGATTAGTTCGAGACATATAGAACAGCACCATTCGATTTTTGTATCCGAATTTGAATGTTAGAGAGTGGGAATGAAATTATACAATACCACATAATATGCCATGTACTTCTTGTAATCCACTTGGAAGCAAGCAGCTAAACCTCTAGGATCATTGCCAGAAGAATACCCTTCTTCCGACTCTGTTTTAATTGGAGCTTCGCGCGGTTTCAAATTTGCACCTTTCGCCATTCCTTAATCAAGACCATAAGATAGAGTGAAAGAATCTGGCCTAATAAATCGAAGAAAAGTGGAAGAAGAAGAAGAAGAAAAAAACAGAGACAGAATGCTAGAAACTAAAGTCAGTACCTTCCCTGGTTTCGCAGAGCTGCTCTGTTTCGAGCCTCCTTCCTGAGTTTCTTCGGCAAGACCTCCTCGTTTCAACTTCTCTCCTCCCCTCGTTTCCCTTGCCTGAACCAATACCTAATGCATAGTGATACTTAAAGCAAGATTTCTCGGTTGGAGAAAATGGACGACTAGAGAAACAAAGAAGAGAGGAACAGAGAGAGAGAGCAGAGATCTACCGTTTCTGGGGTTTTCAGGGGACGGCTCTGTTTCATGATTCCTTCCAGAACTTGAACGAGGCACGCTAGTTTGAACATCAGTGTATCTCTTGACGCAGCCAGTTGAATTGTAAATGACGACATCCACGATTTTGCTCCCAGTGAAGTTGAAAACCAGATAGTCGCCTTCTTGAAGATGATGATCCTTGACGAACGCCGGCCATCCAGTTTCTAAGAAGCATCCCCTGTTTCCCCATTCCACAGAAACAATGGCAGGATTCCCATTGTTGGGTTTGAGAACTAATTTCCCGTACAAATCGTCGCCGAATTCGTAAACGAATGAATCTGGAATCCTCTGTCGTGAAAACAGAGACATCGCAGGGTGGTGAGTGAAGAAGGTAAAGCAAACGCAAAAGTGAGAAGAAGATCAACAGCAGAATGGTGAGAAGTGGAAGAAAGAACGTTACCAGCTTCTTGGAGAAACATCCAACCAAAACCTTGATGAAGGAAGGGGTCTGGTTCGCCATAGTTGCTTGTTTTCTTCTTCTTCTTTTGGAGGTTTACTTGTAGTTGTGGTAAAAACAGAGCATGGGAAGAAAAGAACGGAGAAGACTATCTGGGTTCCAGCATAATCTTATCACCCATCAGTTGTACGAACCAGTAAGCTGTGGTCTGTACTCTGTAGAGTGTACAGTGTAAAGCTGGTGATTCGTTACAGGAAGGAGAGGGCGATTTGATTGGTCACGGAGAAGATCTTGCTCTTGCAATCAGTTTCTCGATCAAACTATCTGTCAGAAGATATATGGAAAATACAGAGAGCTCTATTCCGGCCCAGTACTCGAAGTAGCCTATATTAGGAAATGAAATTATGGCCCTTGCCCGTTGGAGGAAGTTATTTCGCTGAAGGGAGAGCTTGTTTGTGCATTTTGGCATTGAATAGGGTGCAATGGGCATTAACCCACAATAGATACAAATTTGAGTATGCATATGAATACTAAAACTGGAAAAATAGAACAGACCGTTAGAAAAACCGTGGTCCAAACCGTACCGTACAGTTTGGTATGGACCGTAGACCGTTAAGTATGGTCCGGTCCATGGTCTGGTTTATTTTATGTTTTGATCTCTTGGTCTGGTCTAGACCGCGGTTTACCGGACCAAAAACCGTGGACCCAACCGACTTGTCAATACGTGTTAATAGCCCATTCGATCACCCTCCCAACTCACACAACGACACCCAAATCTCAACATTAATTTTGAGAATCTCTTCCCTCCTTCGTTCACAACCACATGTAACCAGAGAGTAGAGATAATCGTGTCTCCATATGACATTATGTTAATGTTTATAACGTTATGGTGCAAGTTTGTATGCTTTTACTTTGTATTTTTGTTATTTCTAAGATTTAGGATATCAAAATTATTCATGCATGTTAGGATTAATGTTTTAAGGCAAATAACAATTATTTTTCTTGGTTATTGGTTCAATTTTTTGTGTGGTTGACTAAACAAATTATTCATTTTTCTTTGAGTGTGGTCTATCTGGACCAGACCAGACCAAACTAGACCGCACAGGCGTGGTCTGGACCGGACCATATAGTCTGTGGTCTATACTTCAGCCTCTCGGTCTGGACCATAGACCGTATATATGGTATGGTCTGGACCAGACCGCACCGTTTCCCAGCCCTAATGAATACATATGGCCAAAGGTTGTCAAACCGGTTTGTTCTAGTGTGTCGGTTTAGCAAGTGGAATGGTTCGATCGGTGGCACATACCGGTTTGTGCCGATTCATGCCGGTCAATATTACAAATAAAATTATAAATACTCATATTTAAACATGACATTTAATGTCAATACTTAAACATTTATACTTGAATACAACAAATAACATCAATATTTAACTTTTATACTCATAAAATAAATAATAAAATTATTTTTATCAATTAAATTCACTAAAATAAGGTCATTTTACTTAAAAATTCGTATATCGATCATGTCGGTCATACCGGTGGTGTCACGCTGGTTTTATGACCGGTATCAGTTGAACCAAATTCAACCGGTGTCACGCCGACCAGCGTGACAACCATGCATATGGCTTACCAACTCTTTGTTCACCATTCACTATCTGACTTGGCTTCCCTTTTGTTTATGCCTTCAGTTTGATACTTGTCTAAAATATAACAGAGCTTTTATGAGTTGGTTTTTATTTGAAAAAATAGTATAAAAAAGTGATTAAAATTCATATGTGGACATTTATTAATAACTTGCGTTACTGGACCATATATTGTGTTAATGAACTACGTAAATCAGTATGTTCTTTACTTTTCCTGCTATTTGTTGTCTTGGGGTATCGACTATCCCTCAATTACATTTAAGTATTTACAACTAAAATATTGTTCCTTCGGGAAACACCTGTGTTTTACCCTACTACTGTTAGTTATATGAGGGTCTTATTGTAAATAACCTTCGTATAGGTATGTTTGGTGTGAGCAAACCTATATAAACTATTGTGCCTGTACCGAAGCTGTTACGTCGAATAATAATACCTAAAACTTGAGAGGGAGATCCTCTCCGTGGACTAGTGTCTAACGACGATACCACGTTAAAAAAGCTCTTGTGTCTTTTCGTTTATGCTAGCTAAATTGTCATGGTATCAGAGCTGAGATCCAGCCTTCGATTCATCTTAGGATTGTGCGCTTCATCTCTGGGTTCGTGTGTTGCTGCTGCTTAGATATTCTCCCGTTCTCCAAGGGTTCTTAGGTGTTTCGGCTTATTTCTTCCCTGCTGCTTTGTTCGTTTGTTTGTGGTACTTTCGGCTGTGTTCTCATGATGGATTCCGGAAGTTTTGATTGTGAATCTACCAAGTTCGACGGCAAGAACTTTGCCTTGTGGGAGTTCCAATTCCGGAATTTCATTGAAGGAAAAGGGCTGCTCCCAATTTTGACAGGGTCTCAGAAGCGGCCGGCTGATACCGCGCCGGCAAAGGATCGTGCGGACTGGGCGATGGCCAACGCCCAGGTTATCTCCTGGCTTGCGAGCTCAGTTGATGTCTCTACGACACTCTCCTTGCGTCAGTTTACGATGGCACATGAAATGTGGTCTCACATATGCAAGACATACTCCCAAGCCAACTCCTCACGGCAATTTGATTTGAAATTTGCCATTGCAAAACTGGTGCAGGGTGATTATGATATAAAGGGATATTATCAGGCTAGCCTCAATTTATGGACCGAGCAGGATCTTCTTATGGCTTCCCTTTCCCCCGAAGCCAATACTCCACAGGTTATAAAAGATCTTATCCGATCCCGGATGATGCAATTTATCATGAAGCTCCGCCCCGAGTTTGAGTCCATTCGGGCCTCGATCATTCATCGCGGGGTGACCGAGTTTGACGAAGTGATCGGTGAGCTGTTACGTGAAGAAACAAGATTGAGGAGTCAGGCTCAAATTGACAATCTCTCTCCTACCGGTGAGGCTGCATTTGCGGTGAACAAAGGTAGCGGCAGCCGACCTCAATTTCAGTCTCAGGGCACAAGCAATCTTACCTGTCATTTTTGCCAAGAGGTCGGCCATATCCAGCCTCATTGCAAGAAACGAAATATATGTATCTACTGCAAACGAGCTGGGCATATTATTCTGGAGTGTAAGACTCTTGCTAAGAAAGGTGGATTGCGTCCTGGTTATGGCGGCAAGGGTGTGAGTTCTGGATCCTCCGCTGGTGGTTCCAGCTATGCTGTGGTAGAGAAGGGTTCCTTGCTCGGCAGCTCCTCAACGTCGAGTGCCTCGACGGGGAGTGACTTATCCTCCGATGCTATCCGACGCTTGGTTCAGGAGGCTCTTCAGGCTGCTCTCCCACAGGCGTTGAACGCGGCTTTTGCTACAGGTGGTGCCTCAGGTAACATTCCTCGTTGGTTGTTAGATTCCGCCGCGTTTAACCATATGTCTAGTGCTCGTAAATGTTTCACCCAACTTCGGCCCGTCGAGCCTCTGATGTTACAGGTTGCCAATGGAGATAATGTTCCCGTTCAAGGGTCTGGCCCAGTCTCTTCCGGGCATATACACTTACCAGACACTCTCTATGTTCCCGAACTAGTCCCAAATCTTGTCTCCGTGGGTCAATTGGCGGAGGATAACTGCAGTGTGGTGTTTAATTCTGATGGGTGTATCGTGCAGGATCGGAAAACAGGGAGGGTGATCGGGAAGGGGCATAATAATGGCAAAGTTTTCGTCCTGGATCAGTATGACAAGTCCGGGAACTTGAATGGATTGGTGGCGGCAGCTCAAAGCATTTCTGGTGGGAGCTCGGCAAGAAATTCCATTACTAGTGATATGTTTTCCCTTTCTAAACAGGCAGACTCTGAAGCTTTAAATAAGTTAGGTCATGAGACCTCTAGTTTGGGTTATTCTGTTAAACCTGGATCGTTGGATTTTTCAGTTCATTCTTCTACATGGGATTTATGGCACCGTCGATTGGGACATCCCCACTCGGCCCGTTTGTTGAGCATGTTTCAAACAAATTTATTGCCTGATAAGTTGCATTCTGGTTTTTGAACACCTGATTCATGTGTAAGTTGCATCGAGGTGAAGATGTCCCAATTATCTTTACTGCCTAGTGATACTGAATATACTGCTCCATTCGACTTAATCCATACTGATCTATGGGGGCCCTCGTCGGTTACGTCTCGCCTGGGTTTCAGATACTTCGCCCTATTCATAGATCATGCCACGCGTTATACGTGGATTTATTTCTTACGGCGCAAGTCCGAGCTAGTCACTCATGCCAACACTTTGTTAAAATGGTTCAGACGCAGTTTCACAAGACAGTCAAGGTTGTTCGTTCTGATCACGGAGGCGAGTTCAGCTCACAACCTCTTCTCGACTTCTATGCTTCCAATGGGATTCTGAACCAACACTCTTGTCCAGGCGTCTCGCAACAAAATGGGCTCGTTGAGCGGAAGAATCGACATGTGTTGGAGCTCACACGGGCAATCTTGTTTCATTCATGCGTACCCACTGGTTTTTGGGCAGAAGCAGTGCGCACTGTGGTTTATTTAATAAATCGTCAGGTGTCCTTGGTTCTCGGTAATCAATCCCCATATCAGGCACTATTTCATCGGATTCCAAACTATGCATTCCTACGGACATTTGGCTGTTTGTATTTCGTCTTACTCCCGAAGCGTGATCAGCACAAGTTAGCTCCTAAAACTGTACGGTGCGTCTTTCTTGGCTATGACGATGAGCATAAGGGATACCTATGCTATGATACCGTACAACGTCGTATGCATATTGCATATCATGTTATGTTCCTTGAACAGGTTATGCATTATTCCGTGGCTAAAGATACACCTACTGCTTGTCTTGATTTTCTCCGGCCTGTGCAATTTATGGACACTCCCCTGCTGTACTTAATCCCATTAAGAATGACCAAGCTGATCAAAATAATGACACATCACCGCCCCATACTCCCTCTATTCACACAAGCTCCAGCTCTTCTTCAGACGCTTTCTCAACTCCTGGTGCTGGCCTGTCATCATCACCGCCTACTTTGTCTCTCGGCCTCAGTTCTAGCTCGGCTGAGAGCTCCAGCCCTTCTTCAAGCATGGGCAGTGGGGACTCATCGGAGTTAGGGGGAGGCATGGACAATATGCTTACATCGCCGAGTCCTCCACCCTTACCTCGTCGGTCTGATCGGGAAAACAA